ATCCAGAAAAGAGCATGTAGGACAATATTAGGTGATCAATATATTAATTATGACAAAGCTCTTGAAGTGTGTTCTTTGCAGACCCTGTCGGATAGACGCAAACAATTATGCACTTATTTTGCTTCATCTCTTGTCAACAACCCACTTTGTAAACATTGGTTACCTGTTAACAATAATGTAGATTATTCACTGCGAAGAAGGACCAAGTATCGTCAATTTCATTGTAAAACGAACCGCTATAGAAATAGCTCAATTCCATACCTAATAGACCTGTTGAATGCATGAATGAATCTTAATTGTCTACCTGTTGAATGGTCCGGTGTCTCATTGTCTGCATACATTTTTACATTTTTACATTTTACATTCCGCATTTTAAATTTTAAATTCTATGCTTTCATAATTACTTGTAACATCTTTTTAAAATGTACATTGAATGGTGATAAGGTTTTGTAGCAATCATGACATGGCAATTCAGATCAGATGGTGTTCAAGTTTTTAATTCATTTGCTTATTTCTCCCCAATGTACGAAAGTCGGGAAGGAGCTTACTTGTTTTATTGTTTATTTTTTTGAAATACCCGACACTCCTTGACACAAGAGAGGTCCAAGGATGAGCGAGCAGACCGTTAGCTAGCGTATGGGAGTGTGAATGGTGGTGTGTATAAGAGTGTAAATGTGAGTGTTTATGAGTGTGTCCAAGGTACAGGAGTGAGAATAGGAGCATAGACGTAATATATGATAGGAGCGTGTATAGGAATGAGAGCGTGTATTGAAGAGCACAGGGCCTGCTTGCTCATCCTTTGACCTACTCTTGTGTCACCTCACAAAATATATTTTAAACGTGAATTAATTTGCCCGTTATTGTCTTAGTCATATTATTTATGAACTTTGTTATGAATTTTGTTATATACTGTATATTATACTTTGTGACAATGTCAACCACATTTGTATGTATTATAATTCATTGCCAATGTAAATTGTTCATAATTCAGCTATCTGGCTGCGAAGTGCAATCAATAAAACCTTTTCAATCTCAATCTCAATCTCATATATTATTTCTGACTCATTTTCATCATTTTGTGTCAGTTTATATAAATCGCCTTCTAGATGTGCTCCATCGACCTCTACATGTGCTCCCTAAATTACACTTGCTAAATATGTATATTTCTCTCAATTATATTCGCTTCATGTGTACAAATTTCATCTGTAATCGCACTAAAATATATCCTCAGAGAAAGTATTGATGTTGATATATGATTTCTGACTCATTTTCATCATTTTGTGTCAGTTTATATAAATCGCCTTCTAGATGTGCTCCATACATGTGCTCCCTAAATTACACTTGCTAAATATGTATATTTTCTCAATTTTATTTGCGTCATGTGAATAAATTTCATCTGTAATCGCACTAAAATATCTCCTCAGAGAAAGCATTGATTTTTGACTCATTTTCATCATTTTGTGTCAGTTTATATTAATCGCCTTCTAGATGTGCTCCATCGACCTCTACATATGCTCCCTAAATTACACTTGCCAAATATGTATATTTTCTCAATTTTGTTTGCGTCATGTGAATAAATTTCATCTGTAATCGCACTAAAATATCTCCTCAGAGAAAGCATTGATGTTGATATATTATTTTTGACTCATTTTCATCATTTTGTGTCAGTTTATATTAATCGCCTTCTAGATGTGCTCCATCGACCTCTACATGTGCTCCCTAAATTACACTTGCCAAATATGTATATTTTCTCAATTTTATTTGCGTCATGTGAATAAATTTCATCTGTAATCGCACTAAAATATTTGTCATTATCCTTGTTTAAATCATATTGTTATCAGATTTAAACACAGCTTTGTTGTAATTAATTCATTTACTTTCAGATACAAAAATCTGAAAAATTTATATGGAACACCCCTTTGAGATTTTTGACATGTGATTGAATTTTTAGTCCAAGTAGTGCTTTTTTTTTGGTCTCACCCCATCTAAAAGAAAATCAGTTTAAGTAGTACTGCATGTATATTGCAGTGTTCTTCACTGCAGCATTAAAGAGCAGCAATGGCGAACGATTGTCGCTAAAATTCAGAATTGTTGCTTAGATTGATTAAATTACCAAGAGACATCAAGCTACATAAAACTATGATCGACAAACATGATATTGTTTTGAAAACAGTCTGAAAACATTGGAGGTAGAATGAATAAGTGATAATGTGGTCATGTAAATAAGTGCATTATGTCCATGTTAATCCCCTATTTCCGAAATCATGATTGTATTCTCTATTTATTTCTCCTATATAATTTATTTCAATTTAAAATAGAAATTCTAATGTTCCTTCTTTTGGCTTGATACTATTTCAGCAACGAATTGACAGTTTTGGTAGACATCTTGGATGTATTGTAGCAATAAATTCTTGGCACATGACGTATTGTGCATACGATAATAATGGTAAGAAGAAGAAGCATACAAATAACTATAAGAATAATAACAATAACACATAATTACTATAATAATGATTATAATTACGATATTTACTATAATAATTAATATAACAATGATAATAATAATGATTATTATGATACTGCTGCTATTACTACTACTACTACTACAACTACTAAGAAGAAGTAAATGAAGAAAAAGTGGTAGGAGAAGAATCATTTCAGCGATATTAGTGAGTATATTCTCAATGATTGAGGCATACACGTGCATAAACATTACATATTCCGTGGTAAGAATAAAGTAAGCGAGGAAAAATGAAGGCAATGGCAAACGAGAGCGAGAGACAGATAGAGAGAGAGAGACAGAATATGGCCGGGTTCAAATTAAGTTTTCTTTAAATCAGACCCAGTACCGAGGATCTTTTGATGTGCCATGTTTTTGTTATTTGATGGCTTTTGAAGCTACATAGAAATGCCGTCTTTTGTCACCAAATATTGTTCAAATAGCATTGTAGAGACGATGAACAACTACGAACGCAAAGTCGTTAGCCATGAGAATGTCAATTTCTATCTCGTTCTGCTAAGTAATCCGAACGATAGAATCAACCAAGCAGAATCAACTGTTAAACGAATTTATCATGAGTTTTGAAATTTCAATTTGTTACTGCACGTCATAATAGTATTAAAGAGCAGCAATGGCGAACGATTGTCGCTGAAATTCAGAAATTGTTGCTTAGATTGATTAAATTACCATGAGACATCAAGCTACATAGAACTATGATCGACAAACATGATATTGTTTTAAAAACAGTCTGAAAACATTGGAGGTAGAATGAATAAGTGATAATGTGGTCATGTAAACAAGTGCATTATGTCCATGTTAATCCCCTAGTTCCAAAATCATGATTGTATTCTCTATTTATTTCTCCTATATAATTTATTTCAATTTAAAATAGAAACTGTAATGTTTCTTCTTTTGGCTTGATTATTTCATCAACGAATTGACAGTTTTGGTAGGTATCTTGGATGTATCATAGCAATAAATTCTTGGCACATGACGTATTGTGTATACGATAATTATGATCAGAAGAAGAAGCATAAAAATAACTATAAGAATGATAATAAAAAATAAGCTTTATAATAATGATTATAATTACGATAGTTACTATAATTATAAATATAACAATGATTATTATGATACTGCTGCTATTACTACTCCAACTACTACTACTAGGAAGTAGAAGGGGAAGGAGGAGAATCGTTTCAGCGAAATTAGTGGTTATATTCTCCATATATGATTGAGGCATACACTCAAATTGAAATCATAATCAAACAGGCATCTGAAGTTTTTAGATGCTTACTATTTGCTTCATATTGTTGACAATCGCCCCCGGCTGGATCGCACCCTGCTTCCCTGCATCAACGAACAAACTTTGTGAAAAGATTTTTGTCTCCCTTTAATTCAAAGTCGTTTTACAAACTTTTGACCATCGAATAATACCCGCATTCATTCAGCTAAACTTGACACGAGGTTATGTTTGGCTAATTGTTTATCGTGTATTTTGTAGAAAGATACAAACCCTCGTGTAATTTAAATAACGTTGGAACTTTGGAATTGAATTGGGGCCCTGAGCGAAGAATACACGTTAAGATGACCAAAAATGCGAGGTAGTTTCCACTGCCCGTGGGATCATACAATATGCCATCTAAATCGTTTACCTGTAGGTCTGGAGTATCAAAGGTCAATAAATTGAATTCCGTGGTAAGAATAAAGTAAGCGAAGAAAACTGAAGGCAATGACAAACGAGAGCTAGAGAGAGAGAGAGAGAGAGACAGAATATGGCCGTTAACGCGCGCACGTACGCATACGCGCATTTTTGCGCGCATTTATTGACCTGAAATTGACCAGATAGATATTGATCTTAATCCTGATAATTATGAATGAGAAATTCCTTTCCATTATGAAGATATGATCATAATTTGATTTTCACAAAATGGCGCCTGGATGACGTCACGATAACTTTGACTCTCTAAAAAGTCACGCAGTTCTAAATCATCATGGCAAGTTTCATGATAATGGCTTTATTCAGTCTTGAGATATCCTGCGAACAAATTCGAGGAAGAATAATGATAAATAATAAATAATAAATAAATAAATGATAAAAATCTTGACGAAATCAAAAGGGGATACGTATATTTCATACGTATCACCTAATAAAAATCTTGACGAAATCAAAAGGTGATACGTCTACGTACGTATCACCTAATCAGTTGCCATAATGTACTTGAAGTCTGTATGCTCTCAGGAACTTGGATCATGCACATGCTCGGGTAGGTCCCCTATAGTAGGCTGTAGCACATCTAAGAGTAAGACTAAGAGGCTGTTCACACCGGCAGTGATGGCGCGCGCTAGACTGCGCTATCTCTGCGGTTTGGAAGGTACAACGTCGTGTCGGTCCGCCCAACAGCGAGCCACGGCGAGCCAAAACGGCGTGCCACTGGAGCACCTCTTGGGGGTGGTCCACGAGAGAGCGCGCGGTCTAGCGCGCGCTAGAAAGAAGGGGGTGCTACGATAGACCGCGCTATCTCATTGCGGTTTGAACAGCCTCTAAGTGGACATCACACTCGGTCGGGCTGTTTTCACCGCTCTAGATGAATGAAGAATCTAATAGGAAATACACCACGTATCCCGTAATGGTAAAGCTTGTGTAAAGGTATGTCATGATCGAGGGTATCAAATGCCTTGCTTAAATCCATGAAAACTCGTATAACATGCCCGTGTTTGGCTAAGGCAGATGATAACCTATCATATTGTAACAGGTCAAAATTGAACTGTTTTATGACGAAAAGATCAATCCAATATCTATCTATTTCTAATCGATATCTCCACAACAAGAAAGTAAGAAGTTTATATGTTTACAAACTTTGTACTTCAAAGAAGTATGACTCACACATATTCTGAGTAGAAGCTATCAATTTGGCCAAAACATGACATTTCACAGCCATGAGAGAGTTTATGATGTACGATCACTTGGTCAAAGGTTGGTATAAAAGAATTCAAGCACCCCTCCTTGAAGGTTGAAAGACAAGAATGGAATACATACATCTAAATAGGCACATTGTAAGAAAGCTATTATGAACAGATTAAAATGAAGTTTTGATTATTGATTCAAATAATTAAAAAGTCAATCTTCTTACCGTAAATCAATCTGGCCAGGCGAATGAATGTTTGAGCCAAAGCCGATCAAAATAAGATTGTTTTGGATTCATAACACGATATACAACTACTTTAAAAAAAATTAACCTTAGGCAATTTCAATAGCCTTGTGCATTACCTATTGAATGTCAAACACAAATTGACAACTCTGTGAACATGGTGACGTGAGCGAGGAATAAGTTCATATAATTCCTGGGTTCATTACCAAAAATTATTGTAAGTCATTTGTATGGGTGGTCCTAAAGTTTTGCAGATGGCTGTACATCGAAAATCAGATGGCTTCTAGTGACAGTGTGGTCTCCAACCTGGACTTCGAAATGAATTGTACCTGGGTTATCATCCATCTCCCAGCACACAACTTCTACTTCTTTTCCCAGACGTATCTCCTGCATATATTCCACAGTGTATGTTTTCAGTTTGTAGTGGATTAGCTCATGATGAAACGACCTGAGGAACCCGGCAACAGCTGCAGAACTCCCTGCATCATACATGAATCGCAGATACGGTGTTTGGTTAACGTGTCTATTGTAATCAACATCACTCCACTGCACTGTAGTCGTCCACCTGAAGACATCACCATTGCCAGGCTGCAAGGGTAAGAACTGATGTCTCTGCGGTGGTGTCTTCATGGTTGTCTTGTCGTCGACATACTTCTTGATGATCTCGGAGCCGATGCGGACGGGCGTTCTTTTGTTGACATCCACCGCTATGCACTGCATAAGGCTGGACAGATAGAGAGCCTCGGACTCTGCGTCTCGGAGATCAGTGCCGACGTATATAGCTGTTCTTCCCAGAAAGGTTATGTACGAATCGTACCTGACTGGACGAGAAACGAAGTCCGTATCGTGGTATGCAGGAAGGAAGTTTAAAGTGAGACTGCGACCAAAGAAAGATAAGTCGTTGCCCTCATCAAGCGATGGCCAATGCTGATAAGAGGCAAGTTGAATGTTGCCAACGTGGCAGTGGGAATGAATGCTTCCTATAAAAAAGAGAAGGCAAAGAAGATAAATAATTTTTTTTTAAAATGAATACATTATAACCATATAAGAATATAAAACAAAGGTGTTCATAGAGTTTAGGTGCGCAAAATTGGAGAGGATAGCAAAGTTGCAGATGCCATTATCAGATGTGTACGTTATTGTTAAATACAGAGGCAAAATATATTTCGCTGAAGAGATCGGTTTATATTGAAAATTGACATGCATTAAACTCAACTTTGCTTACTACTCTTTTCCTCTTTTCGTTAACATGTTACACAAAAACAACCAATGATACCAAGTGACATTCAGGAAAAGGGTAGTTGAAAAAGGAACAGAGTAATGTGGATATAGATTGTTCTAAGCCATATGGAATTTCCCATCATTGTTATAAACCTACTCTGCGAATGTGCAAAAGCTTCAGGGGTGTTTCACAAAGACTAAGAGCGATTTAAGTTTAGCTGGAACCATAGAACGCCGTTCACGCCACTGGTTGTTTTCATCATTGGTATCTCGAGGGAAGTGCAGCTCATGGTTATAAATCTACAGAATAAACATATCTTGATACTTCATAATTGTTGAGTTACAAAATACTTACATTTAAGGTCAACCTATGACATGCCATGTCACAGGTTAACCTTAAATTTAAGTATTTTTTAATATGTTATTCATTCCCCTAAAAAGTCTTATACCGGGCGTAAAATTAGAGAAGAAACAATGAACTTTACAAAATGTCAGTTTTGTAGATTTGTTTTAACAGTTTGCACGTCCCTTGAAATACCATTGCCAGGAATGGCAAGTCTAACTTAAGTCGTTCTAAATCTTTGAAAAACACCCCTGGCATAATCAGGGGCGTCGCTAGACATTTTTCAGTGGGGGGGGGGGGGGGTGTAGAGGCCAATGATTACCGACAAAACTAGCCACCAATTACAGACAAAATTAAATGTCCCAATATCTACAAATTTAACCCTATAAGCCCGGGGCCAAAGGCTAAATTGTTTTTCCTAAGAATTTATAGTACTTGCAAATGGTCATTTTCCTCGACGTCACAAATATACGAATTATCTTAGTCAGCATCATAGCTATATATTTTAATGCAGGCGCGTAGCTAGGATCTTATTTTAGGGAGGGAGTAGTGAGCAAGCGAACGGGGATGGTGAAAAGCCCCCGCGCGAAGCGCGGAAGCTTAGACTTTTCATTAGATTACTATAGAAAGAAGACGATTTGTTGTACCGTTCTCTACTCTTACCCTAATTGTCTTAATTCACAATTCTCGAATCTTATTCCTTATCCGAATTTAGTTCTCCTCTCGCGCGAAGCGCGGAATAGTAGACGTTTCATTATATTATGAGAAAAAGCAGACGATTCGTTGTACTATTCTCGAATCTTAATCCTTTATCTGAATTCAGATTCCACCTTTCGCGCGAAGTGTGTAATCTTTGACGTTTCCTTAAATTATTATAGAAAGCAGACGATTCGTTATACTGTTCTCGACTCTATAAATCCTTGTCTGAATTCCGTCTGAATTCTGCGAAGCGCGTAAGCTTTGATGTTTCATTAAATTATTAGGAAAAGAATACGATTTGTTGTACCGTTCTCGACTCTCAAAGTTTTATAATGCTCAAAATCGTCTCAAAATCATTTTGCATACGTTTTAGGCCATTCTAAGCATTTCATGAAAAATCGCGCACACGCGCATGCGCGCGCGTTTTCGCGCGTAACACCATTAAACAACGTAGAATCGCCATTTAGTTTTCTTTCATGATGTTTCACATATTTTTACAATCAAATTGATAACATGTTTATCTCTTTATGACTATTAATAACGGAATGAGCGTCCGTTTAACATAAATTTCAGTGCGCGCGAGCTCTTGTATTACATAGCATATATGGGCACAAACATGCCTATACAAAATTCATTGTAGCTCTTTAGGATGCAGGGTGACCCCAATTTTTTTCTTCATATTGTGATAGAATATGAATTGGAGATATGATTTCATGTCTCATTTGACTCTCAATTTTCTCATGACGTCATCATAATTGTCTCCGAACCCATAATTTCAATTTGCATATTATGATGTCGGCATATTTTTTTTAAATTGATTTTATTGCTGTAAACATTGATTGATTTTCTTCTAAATTTTGATATGTTCTAGCTGAAACAATTTTCTACAAATTCTTTTTCACGATTTTTCATTTTGACAAAAGCATCATAGCGTATTTTTGCGATTAAAGGAGGAATGTCAATTTTTCACATTTTGCGTGTATTCTCTATGGGACATGATTTTTTTCTCAAAGCTCGATTCTACATTCCCGTCTTTCGCGAGCAATATCTCCGTCGTTTTAGCTTCGTTCACGCTGAACTTCGAGTATGTGATAGCTGAGACAATATATGCTATCTCAAATGTGCCCTTCATTTTGTCTCAAATTTTAGTTGGACCAGCCCACCTATACTTGTTCCAAACAACTTAAACAAGTATTACAAATCTAGTTGTATTATGTAGTTTGGTAGGTTTATTTCACTAACTGTTTAATCATCAGATATCAATAATAGTTTAAAGATATGGAAAAGGTACTTGTAGTTCATATTTAGCAAAGCAATCTCACATACAAAATCACTATCAAGTGTCGTCTGCTCCGCCGATTGCCGTCTGCGATACGTTCAAGTCACATATTTATCTGTGGACTGTGATGTAGACAGTTTACACGTCATTGTAGATGTATGATTAGCCATCTGACACACCATTTCCGCACACCCGGTTCACACATACCGGTTCACACATACATAGAAATAGTCAATTTTTTTCGGTAATTTCACAAAATATATTTGCCGCCTCATACAATATGACGTCATTGACAGCTGATTGGCTATAGTTTGGTAGTGACGTGATTAGCTACGTTTGTGCTGGCTTTCGTCCAACGAGCGAAAATGAGACAACCGGAGCAATATGACCCAACAACCCCCTCTCTCTTTTACTCCCACTCCTCCTCTCTCAGGCTCTTACCTCCCCCTCTTTCTCCTCTCTTTCATCCCTCGTTTCTTTTGTTTTCCCTTTTCTTTTTTTTTCTTCTTTTTTCTTCTTCTTTTGTTTTTCCTTTCTTTCTTTTCCTTTCCTTCCTCTTTTTCTTTTTTCTCTTTCTTTCTCCTCTTTTCTTCTCTTTTCTTTCCTTTCTTTCCTTTCTTTTCCTTTCTTTCCTTTCTTTTCCTTTTCTTTTTTTCCCTCCCCTTTTCTCTTTTTTCCCGACGGCAGCGCAATTTGACCGACAATATCCTGACAGGTGGGGGATGTCGCATTCCCCCTCCCCCCACATCCCCCCCCCCCTTTGGAGACGCCCCTGGGCATAATAACAAAGTAAATTGCTAAATAATTTTAGTATTAAATGCAGAAGTTTGTTATTTTGCTTCGTTGATCAATAACGGAATATTCTTGTCCATGGTCATATTTTAAATGTAGGCCTACAAATAAAAATACATCTCTAGAACAATTGCTGTTAGTATTTGAATCTAATGAAAAATGGTCATGGGCGGCGATTTCTTTTCAAGACCGGGGGGGGGGGACGAAATGTTAAATTCTTCTTTTGCTTGTTGTACATCTCAAAAGATATTATGCGAGTGTGCGTGGCGACCGAGCAGGAAGATTTTTGTATTTTTATTAGTGTAAATGCTGCACTCTTTGGCCTTCCTGAGCCGAAAAGTGTGTTGCCGCCTTTAGTCAGTATTTAGTATTTGCTATAAATTTAGTTGGCACTTTTTCAAATTTTCCGGCGGGGAGGAACGATGCCCCCTAAAAAAATTGAGGGGGACGTGTCCTCCCAAGGCAATGATGATAGGCTAGAATAAAAAAATTAAGCTTTTGCAGTTGTTGTCTGAATAAAACAAACTTAAGTTCCTTACCAATTTTGTTAAAATCATTCCAACCGAACTCCTTTAAATGATAGGATCTCGGGTAGTTGTTTGGGATGTTCCGGAGGACGCTCTTCAAGAACTTGTGAAATTTAGTGTACTCCTTGCTCTCGAGATGTTGTTGCATAGCGCAGCTTCTCGTGTAAATTGTGCGGATTCTGCGAAAAGGATCAAAGAAAAATAACCCTAATCTCGATTATTTCTGTAAAAAATATAATTACTTAAAGGAAAGCATAAATAATAATTGAGAAAATCCTAAATTACCCGACTTATAATAATAATAATAATAATACATTTATATAGCGCAGCTGTTATACAAAATATATTCAGCTGCGCTGGTTAAGAGCTCCTTTTTTACTAAATTCTACAAAAAAAAAGATCTCTCAGTTGAACAAATAAGTTTTTAAATTGGATTTGAAAACATTGAGAGATGGAGTGCTTCGTATTTCTATTGGCAAGCTATTCCAAAGTTTGGGGGCAGCAATAGCAAAAGCACGGTCTCCAAGAGTTACTTTAGTTTTGCCATGGGGAATCTGAAATAATAATTTATCCGTGGAACTGCGCAGGCTACGACTGTGTGACTGGACTTTGAGTTGAAGTAATTCTTGGATGTAATTAGGAGCTTGACCAATCAATGATTTATAAACAATGAACAATATTTTGAATGAGATTCTTTGACGGACTGGCAACCAGTGGAGTTCTCTCAGAAGAGGTGCAGTTGACAGGCGCGTAGCCAGGGGGGGCGGTGGGGGCGGTCGCCCCCCCCCAAAAAAAAAAACCGCCGGCCCCCCCCCAAAAAAAAAGAGAGAAAAAAAAAGAAGAAAGGAAGAGGACGTAGGAAGAAAAAGGATAAAGAGTCGAGAACGGTACAACGAATCGTCTTCTTTCTCTAATAATTTAATGAAACGTCTAAGCTTCCGCGCTTCGCGCGGGAGGGGAGGGGGGAACTGAATTCAGATAAGGATTAACAATCGAGAACGGTACAACAAATCGTCTTCTTTCTCTAATAATTTATGAAACGTCAAAGCTTCCGCGGGAGGGGAGGGGGAAACTGAATTCAGACAAGGATTAAGAGTCGATCGAGAATGGTACAACGAATCTTCTTCTTTCTTTGATGGTCTAATAAAACTTCAGAGCTTCCGCGCTACGCGCGGAGGCAGGGGAAGTTGATTCAAACAAAGATTAAGAGTCGAGGACCGTGACGGTACAGCGAATCGTCTTCTTTCTCTAATGAAACGTCAACAGAAACTGAATTAAGATAAGGATTAAAAGTCGAGAATGGTACAACGAATCGTCTTCTTTCTTTAATAATCTAATAAAAATTCAGAGGGAACTTGATTCAAACAAAGATTAAGAGTCGAGGACCGTGACGGTACAGCGAATCGTCTTCTTTCTCTAATGAAACGTCAACAGAAACTGAATTTAGATAAGGATTAAAAGTCAAGAATGGTACAACGAATCGTCTTCTTTCTTTAATAATCTAATAAAAATTCAGAGGGAACTTGATTCAAACAAAGATTAAGAGTCGAGGACCGTGACGGTACAGCGAATCGTCTTCTTTCTCTAATGAAACGTCAACAGAAACTGAATTTAGATAAGGATTAAGAGTCGAGAATGGTCCAACGAATCGTCTTCATTCTCTTATAATTTGATGAAACCTCAAAGCTTTCGCGCTTCGCGCGGGAGGGGGAAACTCCCCCCTCCCTGCACCCTCCCCCCTAGGGTGCGCGCTACGCGCGCTCTGTAAGTGATTCGCACGCTTCGCGTGCTCACTACCGCCCCCCTAAAATGAAATCCTGGCTACGCGCTTGTTCGGGGGGGGGGGGATGAATGAATAGATCACCCCCCCCCCCTGAACAAAAGGTATCAATTGCAGATTTACGCCCGTGGTTATAAATATTGATAAAACTCAGTCTATGTTATTTACAAACAGAAAAGTTGAAGATGATAACTTGATTATTCATTTCAATGGACAAGCTATAGTTCGTGTTTCTTTCACTTAATTTCTCGGTGTTTACATCGATGATAGATTGACATGGCATGAGCACATTGCACTATGAATATGACGGACAAAGAAAGCGGACAAAATATACAGTTCCTCATTCTACCCTCAACAATTGCTGTGGTTGACAAAGGAACATCCCTTCACTGCTATTATGTAAAAATGTGTAGAACAGGTGTCACATACATATTCACCTGTTCTACACATTTTTACATAATATCAGTGAACTCTCAAGAACATCCTTTCAACACCTTATATCACTCACACAAAGTGCGCGAAAGGCTGCCAAAGGCGGCCCTTTCGCGAGTATTAATAATAATGATAATTGATAGTAATAATAATGAAAATAATAATAGCAGTAGAAGTAGTACTTTACAATAATAACAATAAGAATAATAATAACATTATTAATAATAATATGATAATACGCATAATCTCTTAGATGCTTCAGGCGCCTTCAAATTAATATACATTCAACATAGGCACTACAAGATATAAATACAGCCAATAACATGATTAACATATATTGTGATGTCCTTTTGAGAAACCCGGCCACTCTACATGAAATATATATCTATATAAAAAGGAACCATTATGAAATACCCGAAACTGCACTGTACCGGGTTAGGAAGCTATAAATAGCCTACAGATCTATAGCAAGGGATGGAATTTGTGTTGCATGTTTATGATCGTTTACGTGTGGAAATGCATGCAGGTATACCTATATATACTCGGTATAATCATGTCACTTGTATTGGCTTTCACTGAATTACTTGGTATTTGATAAGCTCCATACAAATAAGTCCACTTTTTGTGGAAAATTATGAGAGAAACACTTTCTTACCTTGATGATGTTAACAAATGCCTCTTTGTCGATTTATATGAACCAATGTACGCCCTCGGTGGGTAAGAGAACAGAGATTTGATGCAGTCTAGAAACATCATTGCGTATTGTATCAGAGGGAAAACAGTAATCGAATTCAGCAGCACCAATATATCTATACACTGAGTAGTAAGCACCTTTCCATACCAAAGAGATACCAGGTAGAGATACCAGCAATGGAGAACTAGCTAGCGAGAGCCGTTTGATCGAGCTTCGAAGCCGCCTCGTAAACTCAGCGGGTGTTCGCGATATTATTTACGTCAGCTGTTTTGGGTTCGATCTAGATATCGCGCAGTTGCTACTTTCGTATTTGGCTTTCTTGGATTAACTATTTTGACAATCGAAAACAATGACTGAAAGCGCCGATTCCGAGTACGACTTCGATTTGAATGAAGAGTTATCTTTGTTATCTGAAATCGATGAATTGAAACTCGAATTTCTTAATGAGTTTTTTGAAGTATTATTACGATTAAGACTAGATCTATATAAAAGCAGGGAGGTGAAAGAAAGGAGGTGAAACTCTTGTAATTTATTCAAACGCATTCGTGAGTTCTAAAGCGTAACAATGGGATTGGTAACATTCCACTTGGCTTTGAAGTTCCATGCTCCGAACCGCGCTTCCACTGCGGGAACTTTCGGAAGCCAGACACCAGTTATACATTTATTACAAAATATTAAATTATCGGCAAAATTTTCAGTGTAAATCAAAACTTTATATGGGGATTTTATTGGGAATAGTGCATCAAACATGGAATTCACTCAGCAAATCATGAATTTATCATATCACCCTCAATTTTGTAAGCTCCAAAGGATTTACCTCTCACAAATTGGAAGGCTAATTCCTGCGCAACCTAATTTTCATACCCTTTACAAAAGTGAGCAGTGCTCACCCAAGCATGAATTATTTTTTAACTTTTTGGTGTCATATGAAAGTTTTCCCAAGAATCGTATATTTTAATTCGGCAGCCATTTCAAAGGTGTATAATAAGTGGTATAATAATTTAATGAAACCTCAAAGCTTCCGTACTTCGCGCGGGAGGGAGGGGGGCAACTGAATTCAGACTAGGATTAAGAGTCGAGAACGGTACAACGAATTGTCTTCTTTCTCTAATAACTCTATGAAACCGTCAAAGCTTCCGCGCTTCGCGCAGGAGAGGGGGGGGGGTGAATTCAGACAATGATTAAGAGTCGAGAACAGTACAACCGTGCAGGAGGGGGCACCTGAATTCAGACTACGATTAAGAGTCGAGAACGGTACCACGAATTGTCTTCTTTCTCTAATAATTCTATGAAACGTCCAAGCTTCCGCGCTTCGCGCAGGAGTTGGGGGGGGGGGCGCGGATCCAGGATTTCTTAGGGGGGCCAAATTTGAAATTATGCGAGCCAAATATTGGTACCAGCAGTGACGTCATTGGGGGGGGTGCAGGGAGGGGCGAGTTTTCCCCCTCCTTCCTCCGTGAAGCGCGGAAGCTTCGACATTTCAATAAATTATTAGAGAAAGAAGACGATTCGTTGTACCGTTCCCCAAAATAATCCTCGTCTGAATTATGTTTCCCCCCCCCCTCCCGCTGAAGATTTTACGTTTCATTAAATCATTAGAGAAAGAAGAAGATTCGTTGTACCGTTATGACTTTTAATCTTCGTCTAAATTCAGTTTTTCCCCTCCCGCGTGAAGCGCGGAAGCTTCGACGTTTCATAAATTATTAGAGGAAAAAGACGATTCGTTGTACCGATCTCGAAAATAATCCTCCATCCTTTCCCCCTCCCGCGCGAAGCGCGGAAGCTTTACGTTTCATTAAATCATTAGAGAAAGAAGACGATTCGTTGTACCGTTCTCGACTCTTAATCCTTGTCTAAATTCAGTTTCCCCCCCCCCCCATCCCGCGCGAAGCGCGGAAGCTTTGACGTTTCATTAATTCATTAGAGAAAGAAGAACATTGTCCACTATTAATCCTTGTCTGAATTCAGTTCCACCACCCCTCCTGCGCGAAGCGCGGAAGCTTTGACGTTTTGTTAAATTATTAGAGAAAGAAGACGATTCGTTGTACCGTTCTCGACTATTAATCCTTGTCTGAATTTTAAAAATGTTCTTTGTCTACTCCCTTTTCTTCCTACGTCCTACGGGTTTAAGGCAATAATTTACGGTCAGATTAGCATTCAGGGTCCGTCTTAGGGCCCTAGGCGGGGTCCACGGTGCAGAGCCCCGGAAGTTCCGGGGTTTTAGGCATTTAATTACGGTCAGAGGAGCATTATTTTGATATCTAATTGTGACACTGGCAGGTCACTAATTGACGTGGGGTTCAGGGGGCGAAGCCCCCGAAAGCTCAAGGGTTTTAGGCAGTCAATTATGGTCAGATGAGTATGAAGGGGCCCGCCTTAGGGCTCTTGGTTGGGTCCAGGGGGCAGAGCCCTCGGAAGCTCAGGGGTTTTGGCGTTTCATTACGGTCAGATGAGCATTTTTTGATACCTTATTATTTTGTGACACTGGCAGGACACTATTTGGCGTGGGGTCCAGGGGGCAGAGCCCCCAGAAATCAGGGGTTTTAGGCATCAAATTACCGTCAGATGAGCATCTAAGGGCCCGCCTTAGGGCTCTAGGAGGAATCCAGGGGGCAGAGCCCTTGGGGTTTTAGGCATTTAATCATGGTCAGATGAGCATATTGTGACACCTCATTATAATGTGACACTGGCAGTTAACTATTTTTCTTTCTTGCTCTCTTTCTTTCTATTTCTCTTTAATATACTTTTATTAATGCATGTTTAGTTGTTTACCGAAATTACATATTACACTGTTCCAAAATGAAATATCAACGCCCTCTAAAGACTATGTTATATTTCCTTAGCATCATAATAAATGAATAATAAATTTATGATACCCTAATATGGCTGCTTGAATTTCCCTTGTTCACTAATATTTGTGTGCATGATAAAACAATAACCCTTTTGACACTACACAAATTACCCTAAATGTCTCTTTATATACATGTCTACAGTTACCAGAATTTATCTTCATTCTGTCACTTTATACAACTGCCTCTTATATATAAATGATATTAAAATAACACAACACGGTCTGTACAACACACTATCCCTATAACATTACACACATGTACGGTATTATGTAACTGCACGTGTAATGTATCATACAAAGTTACTGTGCGTATAAATCACTTTAATAACAAATTTATACATCAAATTATCTGAAAACTATGAACAGTATAATACCAACACCCAACTCAAACTGACGGCTAATTATTAATTATCAACAAATTCAAATTATACTCACAACATTGGGCTTGTCTGGAATACTAAATTATTGATTGCATATCAGAAAGATGACTTTCCCAAATAGAGAATCATGTGCAGCTAAATTGCTACGCCCCAACTCGGCAGACCAAAATTCAACCAAAAAACCATCGCTTCTGACGTAATACTCCGATCGTCAACTGAAACAAAGAATGTCCTTTCAAAACAGGGATTAGTAACTTACAATTGTTAAATCGCTTCCAATATGTTCATTTGAACCAAATTCATGACCCCATACAAAAGCTTTGTATCACTTTTAAGTTATAGATGTATCATTAAACCCAACATTATGATAATCCCTTTCAAACAGTAATGCTACATTCATGATGCATCTACATTATATTAAAGTTTCCAACTTATATTGCAATGTTCTTTGCGACTGACTCCCGGCCCCCTGATCCGGGGTCGGAGGGACCGCATGTTTGTTCCCAAAATCTCCGGTAAAGGGTACTTTTTCGTGTGACAAAAAGTCCGGCCCGCTTTTGACTTTCACACTGCTTTCGACAAGAGGGAACATTGCATACGCGAGCCTTAACTAACACTGAGTGGAGGGGTCTGACTCTAACATACCTTACATGCTGTCTTCACCTCACATAGAAATACATGTAGGCCTACTACACAAGTACAAAATATAAATGGTCTGGACTGGCACCAAACAAATCATATGCTCATTGAGATGTATAATTATGACCTTGAATTGACCTTGATAGAGCACTCAACTCGACCAGACTGTGTATTCTATCTTTAACGTACCATGTCCCATTTGCAGGCCCCCCAAAATATTAAAAGGTTACATTCCAACGGCATTTGAAAGATTTAGAACTTCCCTTAAAAAAAGGGGGGCTTGAAAATGTCTTTAAGTGGGAAAATAATGACTATTAGTTGTCGAATCGACTACCAAGTCAGTAAAGAGGCCTAATAGTCTGATTTTCAGACCATTGTACCCAGCGCTCAAAATACACGGGGGCGGTGGGCGATTCGCCCTGAGCTACATAATCGCCCCCGTCAGGTTGCTCACGGGGGCGATTGCAAAATTAAAAATCGCCCCCGTGGAATTATAGAATAAAGATTATCTTTCCTGTTATAACTTTAACACAATATTTAGTTTCAATTTTCAAACCTTAAACCAATGAAACGGAACTTAGATTAGCGTGCAAGATTTCCCGTTCTATGAGTAGGCCTATTAATTATTACCGATTCAGCTTGCAGTGCAGTGCCGCCGTCAGCAGTGGTTATAGGCCTACTGCGCCGTTAGTAACGGTACGTGTGCACGCTGCCGCGCCATGTCTGCTGGAGCTGGAGGCGATCGCGCAAGGGCAGAAACATGGTCATGGAGAAGTTTTTCGTTGTGAAAGCGTAAACCCGCTAAAATCTGGTAATTTTAAATGACCAGCAAATAATGAACCACGACCAGTAAATTAATATTAGGGACTTTTAGATTTGCACGATGAGAACGTGGATTGCAACGTGTGACCTCCTTTTAAGGCACTGCCAGTGTATAAAAGGACGTCACATGTGAGGGGGCTGGATAAATGCACATATATTTGTTTTGGGGGGTCCAGTTTTTTGGGAACATTTTTGGGCCGACTCAGCCGGCCGGTGAATATTAAAGCGGGGGGATGCTGGAGAGGAGGACTACTAATCTATTTTATTTTTTTTTCAAGGGGGGGGGGGAGTGAAGCGCCGTTTTAGCATGACTTTCTTTTTAACTCTTACTTTCACCTATCTCAGATAACCCTAAGTTTTTGGTTGCTCCTTTATGTAGTTGATAATGCATGATTAAAATAAAGAGAGAGAGAGAGAGAGAGAGAGAGAGAGGGAACCACCATCATTTTGCAATGGTTCAGGGTTTGTGTAATGTACATTTGAAACCATTTCTTAGCGTCTCAACCCTGAAAAAATAGCAAAACTATTTTTGAGGAAAATCATTATACTGAACTGAATAAAGAATAATAGCTTTATATTGGCTCATACTAATACTGATACGAGCTAAAGTATTTGTATAGAGGTATTCCAAAATGACATTCTGATAATCAATATTTTGTTCTGGTATCATATGTAAATACCCATAATACAACTGATCTCTATGATTTCTTAACGTGACATAGCTTCTTCTCCCCCTGCAAACAAAAAAGAAAACAAGGTTATTTAATAAAAGGATTATACGACAAATAATCAATGTGATTCAAATTGTTGCAAGGATTTTTTTGAATAAGCAATACTTTTCACAAGAATCTTTTTTGAAAAAACGACTTTTACAAATCACAGCCATGCAAATCTGCCACTGTGTTGTAAGATCACTTTCAGATTAGGAGAAATGTATTCTTTAATGAGTATTTTACATTGAATGGAACGTCTCAACTCAGTAAGCATGGCAGAGATTTGTAAAAGTTGTTTTTACAAAGAAGATTCGGGTGAATAGCAGTGCTTATTCAAACAAATATTCGCATCAATTTGAATCACAATCATTATTTGTCGCTTAATCCCTTTTAATAACCTTGTTTTCTTTCTCGTTTGAAAGGGGAGAAGAAGATAGGCCACGTTAAAGACATCATAAAGATCAGTGTTGTATGCGTATAAATATATTACATACACAGGCCCCGCGGAACGTTTATCAAAATGGGGGTCTAAAGTATTTACGATCAGGTAGAGGGTAGCGAGCGTAAATTGGTGGGGGGGGGGGGGGGGGTTCAGAGGTTTTAGGCATTTAATTACGGTCAGAGAAGCACAAATATTTTGATGCCGCATTTGTGTCACTGGCAGGTCAGGGGGGGGGGGCGTTTTCTATTTTTTTTCTTAAGGTAAAATGTACGTTACTATCCTATTTTTTACCGGTTTGTGAGGCTAGGGGGGGCGGGCCGGTAGAATCGGCCCGTGGATCCGCGCCTGTCCAAAATAGCACACACACAAAATCGCCTCGCCGCTTCGCGGCTCAGTAAAGAAAGAATGTAAAGGTTGCTCCGAATAATGAGGAGGAAATAATGTGCAGAACGGGAAAAAATCGAGGGAATGTCATCAGGGGATGAAAGTCAGTAACAGCTATGCATTGTATGGATATTTGTATAAACAAGAGCCCCCGTCAGTACTAAAAGAGCCCCTGTGAGAAGGCTCACGGGGGCTCTTTTTTGGGGGGAAGAGCCCCCGTGGACAAAAAATTAATTTGAGCCCTGATTGTACCGATTGGTCGTAGTTTTGTGTTGCGTAAAGATTCAATCAGTCTTAACTTTGGCCATTACAAGAAGTGGGTTATTGATGCAGACAAATGCTCATGTATCCTTGACAGCTCATTTTATGTATGTTATTACCAAAGAAGAAAGAGCCAGCCAGTCACTCAAAAGTGTCTGACAGTGAAGTCTAGCAAGTAAACGGGTTTCCTTGCATAATTTGAACATTGGACACTGCGAACGCTTTAATTTCACAGACAGGACATGCATGACATATTCATAATTCCTGCAAAGTTCTACAGAATTTGATGTTGGCTGTAAAAAGGGACATAGTACCTGACAAAATGATTATTTGCTAAACTCCATGATCCAGCATTTAAAGTTGTTATTTGTCACCAAGTTATAGACTACATTAATTCATGTCATCATATAATCCTGTTCTTATTTATTGACGCTGACTCTGGATAACACTCTCCCTGATACCCCCTTCACTGCAGTCTAATATGTAACAGTCATTTTGAGTTTGGCTACTTTGCTTATTTACGCACAAGTGCAAAGCATTGATGTAGATTACCTACGTGCATGTTCACTGAACTAAGACCAGAATAAACTAACTTCATTCAAGATCGTAATTCGACATGTTATAATTATAGATGAATCAATATTTCAACTAACCTCTGTGCCTCCATAAGTGACTTTAAATAAATCCTCATAATACAGAATGTTCTGTAAAGAAGAGGTCCTCAAAAATAATGTTCATGTTTTTTTTCTTCATCACTTCAATATGCCAGTAGATGGCGTTATTATAATTTAGAACTCAACGTTTCAGTACTTTTACTGTACATGTCAAATAAAGTTTTTAATTTTTACTTCAAGGGCAAAGATTGCCCTACATATATGAAATTCTTCATTTATTGTCCTTTCAAGTTATACAAAACGAAAATAAGCACATTTTCAAAAACTTTCATTACACTAATATCGCTGATGATTCCTCTTCTCTTCCTTTTTCTACTCCTCCTCCTTCACTCCTTTTTTCTTCTTCTTCTTCTTCTTCTTCTTCTTCTTCTTCTTCTTCTTCTTCTTCTTCTTCTTCTTCTTCTTCTACTACTTCTATTATGATTATTATCATTATCATTAATACTACTACTACTACTACTACTATTACTACTACTACTACTACTCTTACTACTACTACTACAACTACTACTACTACTACTACAACTACTACAACTACTACTACTACTACTACTACTTCTACTATTCATATTATTGTTATTATTATTATTGTTATAATGATCGTTGTTGTCATCACTGTTATTACTATTGCTATTTTTAAAATAATTATTATCATTATTGTCATGATCAGCATCGTCAGTATATTCATCAATTTTAGTAGTAGTAGTAGTAGTAGTAGTAGTAGTAGTAGTAGTAGTAGTAGTAGTACATTTAGTAATATGATTGGAGTAGTGGTCCCATTGTTATCATTCTAATCATGATAATCTTTTGCAATACATGTGCCCAGGATTTATTACTATACTACATCCATGGTGTTTACCAAAACTCAACATTCGTGGCTGAAATAATTATTATCAAGAGAAAAGAAGAAACATTATAATTCCTTGCATTACCCTCAAAATGCCATGGAAATATTTTTCTAGAGCATTTTCATAACAAGTTTGGCTGAAAGGCAAATCACTCAATCGTCCGACCAGCTGATACAGCATGTTCCAGCAGGCTCATATTATAAACGTTGAGAAGACTTTTGGCCGTTACCCGTCATAAATCTCAATTGAGATAAAGTAGAGATCATCATTTTACTGTTCATTCAGCCTTCTTCGATCGATATTCTTTCATCGTATTTGGACCTATTTTTAGTTTTAAGAAAGAACGAAAGATAAGGTGGCAGAGGGATGGAGAATAGAGACAGATACAGAAATAGATTTAAAGAAATGCAAACAAAGGATATAAGAAGGAAAAAAAGTAGTTATGACTATCATGCTAACAATAATAATGTGATTTTATAAATTTAATAAACATGTTCTAAGTTTGATAATAACACATACTGATGTAGATATTATGCCATCAACATTCTTTACATACATTTTATATATTGAATACCTTCGTTTCAAATTAAGAAAATACACGCTTTTAAAGGTATTGTGGTTCAGAAGGTAAGTCACCGGACTGTGGACAACAAGGTACGGGGTACGAATCAGTGCCGGGGTAATATTTATGGAGGGCCAGAAGTGTCAAGTCTGACAAACATCAGCGCCATACATGACCCCACTTATCATTATATTTGGTATACATTAAGCGCCCCCCCCCCCCCAGTGAAACCGGGAAACAACAGGTAGTTGTAAGAAAACCGTAAGATGTTTGAAAATAAGTCTGATATCACTGAAGATGAATTCCATCGTGATAAGAAACATGTCAGTGAAAGTCTGATTTAAAAAATCGATACAAAATATTCGATCGATCACACACGAATTGGCTACTCTGTGACGTATCTTCCCCGCTCCCCTCCCATCTGCCCTGTTCTATAAAAGAAACTAAGAAAATGAAAATTTATGACATTTTCAGTACAGAGCAAATTGCAGAGGAGCTCGCAAGACACGTCACAGAGTTGTCAGTTTCGCAACTTCAACAATTAATAACTTCTCTTTTCCATCGCATTTTGCTCTAACATTCACTGATCTGTTTCTCTCATTTTCGGCTTCTTTTAAAAACAACTTAATATCAAGGTTTACTTCCCTCTTAATTGCTATGATTTTAAAATTAAAAAAATATAGTAACCCAAAGGCGATTTATGTGGGGTTTTTTGTTCTCCCTTCAATAGCATTGATTTGATGATTAATATTCATTTTTTTCTTCTCGAAGGCTCGGAAAGTCCAAATACACAACTGTCCCACAGGCCTACTAATGAATTCAGTAGTTTGGGTACAATAAAGGATAACAGTACCTAATTTATTTCCGGAATTGATCCCTTTTTATTTATACGTAACAATGATCCATTTTCATTTTGAAATTACGAGCCCTGACTATTTCACTTTAAGAATAAAGAATCGTTGGCTATTTCATCTTCGGAATTGCGCACCTTTGGAATAACCTGACTGCAACTTCTAAAATAAGAAATGGTGGTAATTGTCATAATACTTATATGCCCCGCCCCATCCCACACGCCCTATTTTAATATTTACCATGGAAAACATTGATGCATAATTCGCCAAGAAGGTAGACTGGTAGTGGTGTGATGGCACATACGACAATGAAGAGAGCAAACTTGAACCCAGAGAGGACCCGAAGAATCGGGTAGACCCAGATATCGACGCCATATCCTAACCAAAATATCCTAAAAAATGAAAGCAGAGCAAACATACATTACCGAGATTACCAAGAGTCCTTTTCAAGACTCCTCAATCCTCTCTCTCTCTCTCTCTCTCTCTCTCTCTCTCTCTCTCTCTCTCTCTCTCTCTCTCATGGTGCACCCGCAAGCCTACTGTATAGATTGCTTAAGTTGTTCCATTTTATATTTCAAGTACTAATGTAACTCTAGAAAGAATTACAAATATATTCAATTTCATCATAAATCTATTCTATAAAAGTTTAACATTTATAGTTTATTGAAGAAGTATAGGCCTACTCTGATAAAAGCTTACCGTGGATTATGCTTATCATTACTGGGGATACGAGGAAATGAACTCTAAAGTACTTCCTCGGTTAGTTCGAGCTGCACATACTTGGCTTTCACTAATAATAGTGGTGTGCTATTAAATATGTATCCGTGAACGTGTTGTATTCTGACTTATTCTCTACGGATCTACTGTATTCTGACTTATACTGTACTGATCTACTGTATTCAACCATGATTAATAATAGTAAAAGTTGCCATAATAAATTATTTTATAAATACATATGGACTGAATACTGAATGACAAAATAAATTCCGTTGACATCAGATTCGATGGTAAATGCATACAAATTTAACAAGAATGATAACAAAAACAATTATACATACCATGACATGTAAAGTGCGGAGATGAATAGAAGACTCGTAATGCCAAGCAATCGGGATGGATATTTGTGTCGTACTAACCACATGTCCATTAATAAGATCGGTAAGACGTTTGTATGCTGATGATGCAAATCATAAAGGAAAACAATTTGACAGAATCGATACACATGAACTTTTTAGTAGAAAATTCATCTACTTAAACAACACTCGACTTATTTTGAAGTATATGCGTACCCTGTACAAACAGAAGATCTCTATTCCCCATCTCCTTGAACGACTTATATGGACGTTTGGCTTGAGCATAAATTATTTTCATGATGTATAATCATATATAAAATTCTTCGTAAAACCAGATTATAGTTAGCAATGCTTAGTGAGCAACAACTTTTTTTAAATTCTTTTTTGCCCCCCCCCGAAATTTGAAAATCGCGCCGACCGATAATTCGCTCGTTTGGGGCGGGGGGGGGGGGGGGGGGGGGGGGGGGAGGGGGGGAGGGGGAGGGGGGGGGGGGGGGGGGAGCAACTTTTTTTTTTTCCTTTTTGCCCCCCCCCCCCCAAAATTTGAAAATCGCGCCGACCCATATATCACTCAGTGGGTGGGGGTGGTAGTGAGAGCACTTATTTCTTGTTTTACCCGCAAATGTAAAAATCGCGCCGACCAATATTTCACTCGGGGGGGGGGGGGGGGGAGGGAGCGGGGTTAAGGAGTATTCTTCTTTTTTTTTAATTTGAGGGGAGGTTGACCCCTAACAACACTCCACCCCCCCCCCCCCCCCCCCCCCCCCCCCCCCCTGCGTATGCGCCTGATCTATTAGACGTAGAAATGAGATGTATATTCAACATGATATATATTTTGCCATTTTCCAAAATGCTTCGAACATGGGAATCTTGTATGATTTTATAAAGTTGTCTAAGCGATTGACAGCGAATCTCACACTGCTGTTATCTTTCAGGACTTCTCCAAGGCTTTCCATTTTTATAAACTTTCTTATTATTATAGGAGGCGCGATAGCTCAGTCGGTAAAGCAGTGGTCTCGTAATCCGGTGATCCGGGTTCGAAACCAAGTCGATGCGCTAGTGCCCTTTGGTAAGGCATTAATCCTCATTACCAGGTCCATCGGAGAGGACCTAAAGCCGTTGGCCGTCTGGTTGCTTAGCCTTTATGCTTTCTTAGCATAAGAAGGTTCCCTTTTGGGTCCTCTCCTGTTCATTCACTACATCAATGGCTTTCGAAACTCATCCTAAATGCTCTGTTTTCTTCTCTGTGCAAATGATAAAAGTATTTTCTATACTCACGATATTCCCCAAATTCTTTTCAATACTTTTTATAATGAATTACAATTCGTTTATCTGATTGAATACATGCAAATAAGGGTTCCAAAACACCTACCCCCTGTACAATCACCCCTAGGATAACCACCCTCTAGGATGACTGGCCCCCTAGGACACCTACCCCGGAAAACTACCCCCAGACAACTACCCCTAGGACAACTAACCCCGGACAACTTCTCCCAGAAAACTACCCCCTACAACATCCATCCTCTAGGACAACTACCTCCCCCCCCCCCCCCGGACAAATATCCCTTTTTTTTTACTTCACTATTATATTTTCTTCACTAATTCCACCGTGATATTAATAGAGAAACATGTCCCATGTCAGAATTGCTCTGATCGCATTCTTCTTTTACATCATTTATATAAACATATTTTATTGATCAAGATACTCTCCACACTCTCGTATTGCATAGGCTTCTCCCTTGGGAATCGTTAGCTCTCCCGTTTTGTAAACTTACTAAAACATGATTAAGCCAGACTGGAAAGATCTCATCCAACTCCTTTGGGTAGACCAACTCTCTGTCGATGGACCATAGTATCCAAAACATGCCAACCACCATCTACAAATAAATGAGGAAAGTAATATTTGAAAGTAAAAATTGTTGAATAATCGTTGACGACATAAATGTATGAAATGATAAGGACGATGATAATGAAGAAGATGATGATGATAAATATTAACAAAAATAGGTAAGTGTATTTCGAAGCCAACAAAAATATAGGGGAAGGCTTCAGGGAACTATTGTTGTTTATATACCTCCCTTTAGAGATCTAGCCATCTGATTGGTCAAAATTGAAGTCGGTATTTCCGCCATTCCCGTAAAGAAACGAACAATGCCTGTACCGGTTAATAGTTCATGATTGAGATTCCCGCAAGATTCCTAGTACCGGGAAAATAATAACATTTTGCTGCAATTCCCATTGGTTTACGTGTTAAAACTTGGTTTGTGCGAGCGCGGATACCATACAGTGCTTTTTTCTGCAATTCCCAAATGATTGTAAGATTCAGACGTCTTTCCAGCACAGATTAACCAGGCGCAGATCCACAACGGGCCCGTCCCCCCCCCCTTGCCAAAAAACAGGTAAAAAATTTAAATGGTTACGTAAATTGTACCTTTTTTAAACAAAAGAGTGTAGCCACCCCCCCCCCCTTGGGAAAAAGAGTTTTTAATAATTTGTTTTCCAATATTTTTTTTATTGAGGCCTCTTACCCCCCCCCCCCCCCCCCCCCTTGCTTATTCAACGGTTGGCTAATTCGCTGTTCAATATTTTCTCACGTATTGGGCCCAAACAAAAGTGCTTTTTTTTTCTTCTTAATTTTTTTTATACTTTCTCTTTCTTTTCTTTTAAATGACACAAGTGTAAAGCGCTACACATTTATGTATACGCAGAAGGACCCACGTTGTGCGAAGCTACAGTTTCATTCCCCCCCCCCCCCCCCCCCCAATTCCCCGCGTCATATGTGAACAGACCTAAAGAGGGGAAAAGACAGAGATGGGAGAGGGCGGTCTTACCAGTCCAATGGGGAATGCAACAGAAGAGAGAACCCAGTCCCTCAGTGAGTGCATCATTTTGGATTTCACTCCTACGATCTCAGTCACATCGGCAACACAACAAGAGAAGAAGTAGACAATCTGGAAGAACTGAACATCACAAAATAATCATCAATTTATATGAAATTATTTCTTCGGTTATCGTATCATTATAGGATCCTTTTTTGTTCTTTATCTTTTTGGCAGTGTAGTACACTCAGAAATCGTTAAATGACGCTTTTACTTACAATATATTATTTATTAATACAATTCAAAACATAGATCATATCGAGGTCATATATATAGCTATCATCATGCTGCAAATCGGTGTCCTCTTATGCCTCAGTCACACCTTTGCGTATTTGGCTTGCGTATTGCTGCGTATTTATGGCCAGCCAATTTATCATTTATTCCTATTTCTTGATCTCAAGACATTATTTTCTGTTATAAAGCAATAGTAATTCTTGATATCAAGAAATAAGGAATAAATGTTAAAACGGCTTGCCATAAATACGCAACAATAGGCAAGCCAAATTTGCAAAGGTGTAAAGCCTGGTGTGTGCCGAATGCGAGTAGGGCGGAGGCGTTTCATGTACATTATTATATAACTTGATTATATGCAAAAACGTGTTGTCTACACAATTACAATGCACAGAAAGCTAAAAAAAAAATATCACATTCTTACCCAGCACCACATCGTGAGAAACTTGGTATCCCCTCCATATCGATAGCTCTGTGGTCGAAAATCTGACTTATTAGCCGGATAATAAACATGTTCACAATAGTAATAATACGAGGAACAATAGTAGATCAAAACCAAAGCATGGTAAATTTTACCACTCAAAGGAAGACCCATTTTGCATGTGTTGTATGAATTACGGTATTAAAGGAAATAACGTGGCAAAGGCCAATGAGGGGATTATATGTGTAAACATAAGCAGCCGACTGGCTTCTTATATAGTCTGGTTACAAGTCTCAACGTCTTCTTCTTCGTCTTCAACATCCTCTTCTTCTTCTTCTTCTTCTTCTTCTTCGTCATCATCATCTTCTTCTTCTTCTTCGTCATCATCAACTTCTTTTTTTTCTTCTTCTTCTTCTTGGTCATCATCATCTTCTTCTTCTTCTTCTTCTTCTTCTTCTCTTCCTCCTCCTTTTTTTCTCCTTCGTATTAGTAATTTCTTGTTATCCATGAACGACATAATATAGACTAAATTATAAAATGTTCATGTTTAAACTAATGTTGCAGGTAAAGTAAACTACACCTTTGCACTTTTTATGTTATTAATTACTATAATGATATCGTTTTTTATGTTGATCTATTAGTAAGATCAAACTTTACAATTTTGTCAGAGAATATTGCCATTAAAAAGGGCAAATTTGTGCTTAGCCTTGTAGCTCAAAGCTGAATAGTAAATACGTCGACCATATACAAGTATTATCTTACGATTAGAAAAGGCACTTTGATCAGCAAACAGCTGATATACTTAACAACAAACTCAAATTGTAGCAAGGTGTCCTATATGGTATTGTACAGCACCTCTTAATTAATCGCTGAATTTGTATTTAGTGGTAAACTCTGTTACGCATAAACACTTTGTTTGTCTAATCGCTGCAAGTAGAACAGCAACATGGCACCTAGAAACATAACATTGCGCGCTTTAAAAATATTATGTCTAATCATTATTATTAATCGCAAAAGTAATTTTAGATTTTCGAGACACGGTCTCTCATTGACCTATCTTTGGTATACACGCATACCACTCGTTGCTGCGCATAATTATGGTTAAATTGAAAGCATCGATTTGAAACTCATTTGTAAGGGGGCACATTCGTGTTATTTTTTTTAAAGACCCTATCCGATGGTAATACAACTTTATATCAATGGAAAGCTGAATCAACGTAGAATACAAATATAAAGGAATAACAAATATTTTCCCTTTCGGTATTGCACTAAAGCAAATTGAAACCTCATTTTCCGCACCCCTCCAAATTATTGTTCAACTGGGGTAAAATTTCCTGCAGTTACGGTGACGGCGTAACATGTGGACCCGATGTAACCGACGCGATAAGCCGTGTTTAATTAAACAGTCATAAGATGATGTCATCAAATCAATAACTAGTTTTAAAGTCGACAATTTTTGATTTTCAATGCTGTGGATTTCGAGTTTACAGAGAGCTGTTACTCCTCGGACAGACACTGGAATAGCATACAATTTATATAATAGTTATCTATGGCTTATAAGAATCCGTTGATATATAATTCATCTATTTCCTTGTTCACTTCCTACAGGGTCTTTAACAATGAAGAATTTTTTTTCCTTCAATGAGCATGATTGGATTGAACCGAATATAGTTATGTTCGATTTGTTGGTTTTAGGTCCTACTAAACCAAACTTATAACTGTGGTTCCTTCTTTGACTTATCTGACCACGTATGAATAAGAAAAAGCTAATTATTTCCATATTTCAGATTGTCTGAGGCTTGAGGGCAATTCCGCTGTTTCAGAACGACCTAATACGGTACTTGTCTTTTGTGTGAGGGTGTGTTTCTTCGTTTGTTTGTTTTATTTTCCTTGGTTAAATCGCGGAAGGGCAATGATACGGAATGACATGAAGAATATCCTTGAAATTTGTTTAATTACGTATTGTTTGATCTTTTTTTTAAATAAAAATTTAAACAAAAAATTGGGCTTTCCCATCTATTTATTTAATTCTAGTTAGCTATTATAGTATAAATGCGCTATAATAAGAATTTTTCTTCATACTTATCTCATCATTATCAAAAATATGACCAGAAAAGGGCTGTAAGTCAGGAACGTTAGATGGAGTGATCCCCAAATTATTACTTCAGGCCAACGGATTCACGGAGCACGCCATCTTCGGCTTGCAGCAGGTAGGGGATGGGAGATAGTCAACATTTACAAGATTTGAAGTTTGACTGAACCATACTCTTCTATAGCTATTACCATTCTTATTTACGAATTACACATCCTTTTTTGGTATCTTATCTGTATTAATAAAGGTATATTTTCTCTGAATTGTGTATCGTGATCAATTATGTATTGTACTTTAAAAAATATAAAAAATTGAACTTTTCTTTTTATTCTTCTCCCTCTACTTCTCAATCATCTTCTTAATAATCATAATAATACATGAGATTTATATAGAGCCATTTTCCATTCTTATTAAATTCTCAAGGCACTTTCTTCATATGATCTTATTATTATCATAATTATCATTATCATTATTATTATTATTATTATTATGTATGTTATCAAACATTATGATCATGTTAAATTATTATTATAATCACCATCACCATCATCATCGTCGTCGTTGTCGTCGCCGTCATCACAACAGTACTCTTGTTGTTGTTCTTGTTATTCCAATACCAGTACCAGGGGCGGCGATTTCTTTTCATGACCGGGGGGGGGGGGCGAAATGCGAGGGACGATGGAGCAGTGGCATAATGGGCAAAAACGTTTGGGGGGGCAAAAAAAAATCCGCATCACCACCACTCTTACATGTTACGCAGGCCCTGGGAACATTTTTCTAAGTGGGAGGGGGAGGGTTAAAGTATTTACGATCATGTAGAGCAAAGCAAAGCAAAGTGGAGCGTACATTGGTGTGGGGTCCAGGGGCAAAGCCCCGGTGGGTGTCAAGGGGCAGAGCCTAATGAAGCTCAGGGGTTTTAGGCATTTATTAAGGTCAGATGAGCAGGGGTTTTAGGCATTAAATTACGATTATATGAGCATCAAGGGGCCGCCTTAGGGCCCTTGGTAGGGTCCAAGGAGCAGAGCCCTGGAAGCTCAGGCGTTTTAGGCATTTAATTTTGGTTACATGAGCAACCAGGGGCCCGACTTAGGGCCCTTGGTGGGGTCCAGGGCACCCGGAAGGTCAGGGAAAAACCATGCAATTTCCACAACATATCAAAACCACTGGTATCGAATTAGAAATAAACCACGTTTGAATTTCATTTGGAGGAAATTGCCCCTAAAGCCCCCCGCCCCATCAGTACGCAAATGCGAGTGAGCATAGTGAATGAGAGGGGTAAAGGTGACGGAAGTGACTACGTGTTTTTGAAGTTTTATTGTATTAAACAATTATATTCCTTAGCAAAACTATAGTATAACGTTAGCAATATACCTTTTTTCACCCTTCAGTTTTCTCGGTATTTACTTCTACATTTTGAAGGATATTATGCGAGGGAGCGTAGCTACCGAGTGAGAAGATTTTTGCATTTTGTATTTGTTTAAACGCTGCACTCTTGGGCCCTCCAGAGCCTAATAGTGTGTTGCAGTCATTAGTCAGTATTTGCTATACATTTTTTTTGTGTGTGGGGGGGGGGGACGATCCCCCCAAAAAAAATCGAGGGGGGACGTGTCCCCCCCCCCCCCCGGGAATCGCCGCCCCCGACCATTACTCACTTTCCTCCTTTACATCGAAAAGCCCTATATTAGCTGTTATACAACTAAAACAGATATGAATACCGGTAAGAACAAATACACAATGGTAACACATTGTGAGTTATAAGAAAAGTGTGACTAGACTAGTAAGTTAATTGAATTTTTAATCATTTATAATTCGAGTGTTCTGTTTTCTCTCTTTCAGGTTCAGATTGTTGGTGTACATGATCTTTCAGGGTATCTATGCCTCAATAACCATTGCGATGATGTGGCTATGGTTTAACTTCTGGATTGCCCACATCGTATTCCTCTGCTTTGTATTTACAATTGCTACAATGGGCCCACCTACTATCTGGACCTGGACCCAAAGCAGGCCTTTGATTCTGATCCTTATCGATTGTGTGGAAAGTCACCAGAATGATCAATCTTCTGTCTAGACTTGTTTCTGAAGAAGGTCTATACAATTATCACCTTTATGATTGTGGTTAGTCACCTCGTGAAAAGATGCTTTTTATAAGGGAATTATTAGTAGTATTACTTATAATATACATTCAAATGTAGTGCTATCAATCATCGGATTAAGATTTGACATGTACATGTACATATATATCGATTCAGAGTTTACCTCAAAGTGTATTTACCGGTAAGTATCGTCTGTTAGGAGCCAGAAGGGCGTTCACTCTATGTAAACGAATAGGATTTAACGCCCTTTTGGCTCGAAACACTGTCTACATATTTCCATTTACATGTATAACTTTATTCGCACGGTGTTGAAGAATGTATTAGATTGAAGTCAATGTACACAATTTATGGTATATTTTTGAGAAAATACGAGTTGCCATGAGAATTAATTGTTTCTTGGGTTCTAGTTTTTTCTTCTTTTGTGTGTAATTAAATACCAGATGCAATGGGTATGACTTAAGCTATCTGTTTACCTTTATAAAGGTAATTAAGTTATGTACCTCTTCATTCTGGTCAGTATTCCCTTTTATTCTTAATCAAAATGATATCTAAAATAAAGTTACTATTTCATATTTTTGTATTCTATGATAAAAAAATCAATCTAAGAGGCTGTTCACACCGGCAGAGATAGCGCGGTCTAGCGCGCGCTATCTTTGCGGTGTGGAAGGTACAACGTCGTTTCGGTCCGCCCAACAGCGAGCCACGGCGAGCCAAAACGGCGTGCCAGTACTGGAGCACCTCTTGGGGGCCGTGGTCCACGAGAGATAGCGGGGTCTAGCCCGCGATAGAGCGCGCGCTAGACCGCGCTATCTCTGCCGGTGTGAACAGCCTCATTATCACCCTCTTTAGAAATGCTATCCGGAAGTGACCTTGCAACAGTATCTCTTTAGTGTTGTATTCGAGTGGTTTAAGCACTTGACTTGAAAATTAAAGGTCCTAGGATCCCAACACGGCGCTAATGTCCTTTGGCAACGCATTAATCTACATTTACCATTCAATAACCGAGAGAGAATGCCCTTACGGTGACTTATGGAA